ATGTGTAAAAATATACAAGGAGTTTCATAAAGAAATGTGTATATTGTTAAAGCGATGCCGATTTCTTTTCTAATTGACCATCGCAAAAATGTCTCAATTTTAGTAGATTAGCGGGGAGGTAAATGGCCGCTCGTTATCGACAGCTGTGAAAGATATGCCAACGGTGTTGGTACTCGCACTGGGGAGTTTAATCCAAGGTTATCTACTTCAAACTCGTCCGTCGACAGAATTGTAGGTAAGACGTCTCCGCAACTGGTCCTTACAGTTGAATTAAATTGAATTTGTATTGGTCAGTTAAACTGCTAACAATTAAAATAAAACCCTAAAATTAAAACCCTAAGAGAAAATCAAAGGTAACCCCTCTTTCTTGATAAACTAAAATGTACATGTATGTGTTTAAATAAGAGGGATATAGATGAATGAAAAAATCATCGATGAAAATTGTAATATGACAAATATCAGCCGAAACCTAAAAACTTCAATTAAACGAAATGCAAATAGCGGTACTTACAATAAAGAAAAAAAACGCAATGTGAAGTCCTCTTATGGAGTTAAAGGCGAATCCATTTACTAACAATATTTCCAGACTCCCCAAATTCAAGAATCCTCCGCTTTGCAATTGAACTGGTTTCAGTATTTTCTTCTAGATGTAATTGCAGCAATGGCAGTTTTAGTTTCGATCGTCATATGCTCTTGTGGATATTGCATACGGAGGAAGTCAAACAACAAACAGAAGACTAAATGATCATTTTATAAGAATAACGAAATGGAAAGTGTTAATAATAGTATTACTATAAGTATTAATTTTTTAAGATGTGTAAAAATATACAAGGAGAAATGTGTATATTGTTAAAGTGATGCCGATTTCTTTTCTAATCGACCATCGCAAAAATGTCTCAATTTTAGTAGATTAGCGGGGAGGTAAATGGCCGCTCGTTATCAACAGCTGTGAAAGATATACCTACCAACGGTGTTGGTACTCGCACTGGGGAGTTTAATCCAAGGTTATCTACTTCAAACTCGTCCGTGACAGAACCCGCAACTGGTCTTGCAGTTGAATTAAATTGAATTTGTATTGGTCCGTTAAACTGGTAACAATTGAAATAGAACCCTAAAATTAAAACCCTAAAAGAAAATCAAAGGTAACACCTCTTCCTTGATAAACTAAAATGTATGTACCTCTTAAATAAGAGGGACATAGATGAATGAAAAAATCGTCGACGGAAATTGTACTATGACAAATATCCCGAAACCTAAAAATTCAATTAAACGAAATGCAAACAGCGGTACTTACAATAAAGAAAAAAACGCAATATTAAATCCTCTTATGGAGTTAAAGGCGAATCCATTTACTAACAATATTTACAGACTCTCCAAATTAATGAATCCAATCGCCAAAAATTACTATATATTGATAATGGCAATTAAAATTCCATGCGTTCTAAACTAACGCTTCAGCTGTTACTTTTTATTAAGTGTAACCCATAAGGTTCTCGATAGAAGGGGAGGAAAAATAAAAGTCGACAATCGACAACCAAAAAGCACGGCGCTCGCGTCAGCAGAAGGCGCGCTAAAATTGCGTGTTTCAAATTCCAACAATCCATCTACTGTGTATCTCTCAAAAGTTTAACAAACAGTAATAATGCTTTGTATTAAAGAAAATAAACCGTTACAAGATCCTTCATAAGAAGCGCGACTTCTTACTCCCCGGCGACGGTTATTTACGACGGAAATTAAGCAACTTTCAACGTATACTGGTATCATTGCAGCAAAATCTCCGCCTTTGTAATCGTGCGTGTAGAGACAAATCTTTCGACATTAATATTCGTCCTTTGGGTATCCACAAAGTACCAGGATACTCACTTAGAAGCCCCTATCTTTGAAATGCTCGAAATAGTAGTGTATCGGAAACTGAATTTTATTGATGCATGATAACGTAAGCGTATACCCGTATCCCATACAATTGATATATGTGTGTCTTTTTTGGGTCGTTAATGTTGGACGAAGGGACAGCAATGCTCCACTGAAAGAGCGCGTTATTTATAAGTTTGTGCTATTAAATTCCATCCGCAGTTACGAGATGAAATGTGGACCGTAGTTTTTATTAACGCGGGGGGTGAATCCCCCAAGTTATCTATTTGTTTGTGCCCCACTTCCGCTTTGTGGACTACCAACTAATTTAGTTTTAAAATAGACACTTTCACTTAGTAAACTAAATATTGCGTAGGTATACTTTCACTTAGTCAGTAAGCACTTAAAAAAGTAATTGATTTCTCGTTGAGACGTTTACAGAAAATTTTGTTTGATTTATCCCAGATTTATTCTCTCCCAAATTACGTAGTAATAATAGGTACATTGAATTCCTGCCAATACATATTTGAAGTGGTAGAGGCTTGTAATTTAAAGAAAATCCCTTAGAATCTCCTGTTGATCTAAGATAATTAGACTATTTGTTTCCGTCTGATTACTGCTTATTCTATCCGAATGCATTAGGTACCATTATGGCTATTCAGTAGCTTGATTTATATTCGCCCACAGTTCGAAAGCCTCCATTATCGATGACCAAAGAAAAAAGAAATTCTATTATAAGTTTAAAAAAGCACAAAAGTGAATTTCAAACTAAGCCCGCCCAAATTGAATTAAAATCTTCATTGTATTGTCGTGAAATCCTTAGAGCGCAAAAATTTTTATCATTTCAAATTTGTTTATTCGGAGAAAGATGCATTCTCCAGACCAGAGTGTAGGCTTTTCAAGGCGAAATGAGATGAATATCATTTGTCAAAACCGTGTACCTACGTATTTTTTTCCAATTTTAAAACAAGATCGTTTGTTATCCCAAATAGTGTAATAACTCAAACGAAATCCAACACAAATAAAACTTTGTGGAGTCACAAAGTGGGTTTTCTAAGTGCGATTCTTCTTATTAGCAAAATAGAACGCTTTGATCAATTCTTTCTTTCATCGCGCTGCTGAAGTCATCTCATTCCAATTTGGTTTTGTTACTTCCAATTCAAATCTGACTCTATACATTGGAGTTATGCAGTTTTCCACTGAGGGAAGTATTCATAATGTATGAATCGGCTGATATGGAATACTCGCACATTTGCAATTCCTACAGCATACTATAATATGTATATTATAATGGAATGAGGGCTCCCTAACTCGTAAAGAGGTGACCGAAATTTGAAAACCGATTACGTTGGGATAATGATCTTTTTAACCGGATATTACACAAAAAATAACCGTAGGAGCTAACGCTAAGCAATTTGACGTTAATGCATTGAATACCTTAAACAGCTCAGAAATGTGGTTCGCTTTTTATTCGTAAACCTTTTTCGATTCATCCGCGAGTTAAGGTTAAGACCGCCGGAACGCATCAAAAACAGACGGCCGCCATTCCAACAATCCTGATTTTATTAAACAAAATTACAGTTTCATATCCACTGATATTCATCTAGAAGTTTCAGTGTTGAACCTAATAATATATTTTGTACCAAAGTATTTTTTACTTTTTTTATATTTAAGCGGGTGTTTACCTGAAAACAATAACCATGGAAAGCAGCTGAACTTTTTCATCTTATTTGATAACATAATAATTATATCGCTCCATTTGAAATTATCGGAAAAACCTTTAAAGTTTATGTTAATGTCTCATCGCGCCCTCTACCACTCATCGCATTTACTAAAAAAGACTATTCATGTATAATCTGATTCCACGAAGAGAGCTCTTTCCAAGACGACCTATTATGTGAAAATCTGTTAACCTAAACCGAAGTTACATTCAATTCCTTAAAGAGATGTTGCCCTTCCCACACCCCTCATATTTTATGAGCTAGAGCAATATGTGCAATGATGCAATATTGATACAAGGTTGCTATGTATGTATTTTTTATGCATGTTTGTTGGGTATATTTTAGAATAAGTCATTTTTCTATTTAAACATGAATCGTGTGCCCTCCAGCGATGAAGCTAGAAACTTGAAAATAATTTCCAGCGATTTCTCTTGGCCCCTTTTGTTAACAAAATCTTTTTCCCGAAGCTGTGCAATTGACGGTTCCATAGATATGGCCTGTGACCATTATTAATGGGACACCCTGTACATTAATCTATCGACTTAGTATAAATTCTTATTGTAATACGCAAACGGTGCGTTCATACACTTAAATCGCACCGCACCGTATTGTTATTGTAAAATTGCAATAATTGTTATCCTAACTTATTACTTAATTCATCTGTTCAATCCAGATCTCGTCTTCGAATAAATGGATAGACGGAATTCGTGAAATGAACAAAACTAGAAACGTAACGTTTCCGAATGCACAAAAAAAAATAGTTGTTCTCCCAATTATTCCACACCAAAACATGAAGAACAGTTTAACCAAACTCATCAAATTTTCCTCGGAATTTACATACTGCCTTTTTTTGAGGCCCGAAAAAAAAATGTCTCAGATCGACCCGGAAAAAATTTGAATTCTCTTTCGAAATTGGTTTCTAGTCTATAACTTTTTATTGAGAAGTCTGATCGAAAAAGTACGAATAGAATTGTTTTGGATTCTACGCACCAAAATTAATAAGAAAAAGTGTTGTCCCGAGAAATTTTGGTGCAGTCGATTTTTGGTAAAAAAGGAAGGTTACAGACGGAAACAATTTGTTTCAGTTGTCGACATTACAAGCTTTTTAATAAAGCAGAATAAAAAAAGGAAAATAACATTCAAGCCATAATGGCACAAAACTTTTCTACAGTTTCCACAGTAAGGCAAATGTGCCTCCGAGTGCAACTTTATGCTTTAAAAAAATCTGAATTGGACATTCCGAAACATTTGGATTAAACTGTACCCAAAATACTTTAGTCAACATATTTTTCTAAATTTGTGAATAAATTCCACTTGCAATTGACGATAACAGATAAGAGTATACGCGTGAACAAAGAAATGCGATAAGGCAATAATGCTCCACCTCACCTGTTATTCGTTTACCTAAACAGTCCCGTTTGGCAGTAACGCGCGTAATATCGAACAGTGTAATGATCTTCTTTCAATGGCAACTTTGCATGGTTTTTCCCTTGGTGAAAATGAAATAATGAGGTTTAGGGGTAAGTTTTTCCTTTGTTTGATTAGGATGCAACGTAAAACGTAACTTGAAGTACTTAACAGATCTTTTTTTAATGAATTTGGTTTTTTAATCCAAGGTTTAGCCCATAACAGTAAAAAATAGGCATTTCGTTACGTGTTACAAAACTTAGTTTCACACAAAAATCCAAAAAAGTAATTGTTAATTAAATGAATAAACTATAGGTACCCATTGTAAATATTATAGTTTCTTCCTATTTTGATAGGAATGCGAACACGTGTACAAAAATGACGCGGCACATCATTAACAGATGTGACTGATCAGGTGAGTTATAACTTATAATATTTGAAAATGCGACTATTGCATATTCCAACTTAAAAATGAATTATCCTAAGTAATTTCTGAGTTGCCCATTCATACTTTACACGAACGCTTCAAAAACGGCGTCGTATAAGCAAGAAAATATAAAAGAAGCGTCTAGTTTTGCAGTTATCTCGTAACTCTGCTATGCGTCCGTACATTAAAGTTTCCCGGAACGAATTTTCTTTCGGAATCAACTTTCCAGGGCTCAAATTTTTACATCGCGGATTTTCCGGGTTTCATTAGAGGGTGCTATTAATTCAAAATTTTATGAAGACGTCTCTTTAATCCTTTTGCAGAAAAGTGCAACTAATTTGAAATTTGATAAACATTACCTTTTGTATGCAGCAGCGTACAATAAAAAACCCGCCTACTCTGATCCTCTCTCTGTTCCACCCCTTGTAACTTTTTTTTCAACTCAGTGGCGTACGAAAAGGAAACCCCAACCCCCTTTGTCCCTCCTTGTTTCCCTCTTTTCTTGTTCAGTTTTAACCGGAAGATGATATTTATTCAATATTTTATAAAATGTTCCTCTTTAGTGCATTTCCACAAAAACTATATAACACATCAATAATAGTTCCCGTCCGAAGGTAAAACCTAGTAAGTCAATTTTTGCTTAAAATTAGACTTTGAGACGATCTGAAAGTACTACTTTTTTCCTTTGTAGAGGTATAAACTTTGTAGATCACTTCCAACTAATAAGCATTCTACATTCAATGGAATTTTCTAGTAAGTGTCATAATTTATATCTTTTCAAAGCAAGAATATAGTAAATCCGATTTGCAGTGGAAGAACCTATCATTTCACTTAAGCTATGGCATTTACTGAATAAACAACCTCACCTCCAAATGGAAAAACACAGCATTCATTCTTACTAGTTATTTCAATAGCGTTTAATTAAATTGAAGTTATTTTGATTTCTGACGTTCAATGGAAGAACCTAGCAAAGCAATCTACCGATGGTCTTGCTTCCCGCCAAAAAATGTAAGAACATAGTAAAGTCATATATTTACCAGAAATTAAAACCGCCAGTAAGCATGATACCATTGGAAATAGCTAGCAAAGTACCTTACTAAATTTTTCATGGCTTATAGTGCAACATTTTCAATATTAATAAAACCGTAACTTGACATACTACATATTGATGTAGTAAAAGCATCATAATTACTGTTAAAAAACATCGTATGTTCAATATTTTGCAAAATACTAAATATATTATAAAAACAATATAATAATCACAAACATAGCGACCTAAAACACCATAATGCCCATACTACAATTGTCAACTTTAATTGTCAACGTTATGTCAATACATTGTACTATTAATTGCTCTCTTGAAAAGTTCATAAAAATGAGTTACTGGGTTTTACCTTTTTACGGGAGCAGCTTTTATTGTACGCGTCAGTATTAAAAGTGACTTCAATCAAAACATCACCCCCGTCTCTTCCTTTTTCGGCTACAGTAAGTTCAAATTGTAGTCTCTAATCTTTCGGAATAAATAATATCCGCATTTATCCTTTCAATAACGGTAACCAATGAATCACAAATAAATAAACCCCAAAACACATAAAAGGGAACATTTCAATTTAAACCCACAGAACTCGTAAAACGGGACACCTCCTGTTCTCTTGCTTCGCGTAACCGACTACGATAAGGATAATGCTTTATTCAGGCCTGTTAGCTTAATGGCTTCTTGGCACACGTAATTTCGCACCTGTTATCCTTTGATAAGGAATATATCTGCGTTTCCATTTAAGTATATCCATTAGATACGCGTTTCCCCTACCAGACATTGAATCCAGCTGAAAACAGGGTAACGCAACAAGGTAATTGAAAGTTAAACGTTGGGGGGTGCTTGTACTACAATTAATATGGATTTAGGGAGTAAAGCCGGCTCAATTTTCATCAGATCGAAACTGATAGCGACATCCTTCAATCAATATCCAGCCCGATTGCACGGATCATACGGGTAAGCCTTTCAATAATCCTCATTGACACACTTTCACCCTTTACTAAACCTTCCGAGTAAATAAAACCACAATTAAAGTTCATTGTTTCACTTACTTGAGTACTTTTGCGCGGTGTATTCCTTATAACGACTTCATCATAACTGTTCAGACAACCCTCTACTTTTAAGGTGGTTGAAATGTTTGACCTAGATCTGCTATCATTACATTTGAATGGAAATTGACACCCTTAGCTGTCCGTACAGCTTCAATCTGATGTAATCATCTCTTATTATCTTTAACCTTACTCTACCGTAGTGATGAGTGTTTTCTTATCTTCATATTTTCTTTTGGTAGGTCCATTGATTGATACTGCATGCGACACCCGAAAGTCCGTAATATTTTTTTTTGTGCAGGCTTATACTAATAAATTAAGGAAATATTAATATCGAAACTATTGCAACAAAGAACGAGAATAGGGTCCTTTCCCTTTTTTCTGAAACCCTTAAATCCGATTTGATTACACCTTCCTGGTTAATAAATAATATCAATTCGCGACGTGATATTCACGAAAATATACTAATAAAATCAGAATCAATCCAGCTCCACCCTTACAAGCTTTTCCCTTAAGATAGTCGATTAAATTTTTCCACATCTAACCATTTTTACAAGTTTTTAAATCCGTGATCACGTTTTTCTACCACTAGCTGACTTCTTTCTTTACTTTCAAATAACGGTAAAACAAATATTCCAAATACCCTCAACTTTCACATGTTTATATAATAATGGACCTTTCCACAAGGAAGTGTTTTTTTAATGACTTAGAAAAGAACAATTACATCCCAGTCAAATAGCTCCTTAATGAATTATCTGAAATATATATTTTATGCAAACAGTGCCAATGTGGACGTTGATTCTTTGAAATATTAAAAGGAACCAAATGTTTTATTGTTTCTATAAAGCAATCGATTTCGGGTTAACGTTGATGTTTGGTTCAGACGGGTCATTCAACGGAAACGCAAGCAATAAAGAACAAATTAATTATTACCACTTTCTGTGGTAATAGTTAATACCAAAAGGCAACTTTTGAGATAGGGAGCCACTCGAAAATCCGTGCAGGAAACCAAAATGGCGGCTGTCAAAATGGCGCCATTAGCCGCAATATATTTTTTTTGTATCTCTGCTCCTAATAGTCTGATTTTAATTTTCTTTTTTTCGATTGAAAGCTCTTGTGACGAAGAAACTTTTTGCTATATAATATTTATCTCTAAAACTTAGTAAGGATTTAGCACAATTTTAAAAAAGTGTTTTTTTTACGAATTTGAATCACAAGTAAGCTCTTAATTGTGCAATATCCCGGTCTTTGCGACAAAAAAGGCCATATCGTTTAGAAATTCAATCGACACAACCCCAAAACTCCTTGTATCTACCCTGCAAGTTCGGAAAATTTCAATCCGCCATTTTTTAAAATGCGCAATATTTGTTTCATCAGGCACGCGATCAAGCATTATGAAAATTGAAAGGAAAAGCCTCGTCAATTTTTTTCTCTGAAAAAACAGAAAATACACTCTGCTTTTAAAGTAATTTAAGAAACACTCAGTATATCAACTTTAACTCTTACTCTCGCTCTTACTTATCCTATTTTATTTAACTACTTGGTTTAAGCTACGACGAATGTGAAATTTGGAGTGCTTATTTATCAGATCATGGGTTTTTTCGAGGGTTTTCTCTCGGATTTTCTTTAAGAATATTAACGGAATATTATGATTTCCAAGTTTTAGATACCTATTCATATAAGTTGAATCATTTTTATTATACAGGGAATCCGCCTTATGTAAGCGGACGATAGAGTCTCAATGGTTGAGATTAATGGTAACGCTTTGTTGGTACGAGAAGCCTGAGGGGAAGCCTAAAACGTATTTTTAGGTATATAGGGTGTTCTCGAGGGTAGCCTATACATTTTGATATTTTTTATAGGTATCCCCGGGTATCCCTTAACAAAAGAATTATTTTTGTAGGTCTTATCGGTTTTTTTTTGTAATGCTAGCCGCGAGGCAAACCGTTTTCCGGATATGCTTTTTATACAGGGTGAAAAATCTTCAAAACATTTTTTAAAGAAGCTTTTTATGACATCCATAATTATAAAAAGTTTGCTACCAATCCACGTACATTCAATTTGGGGTCAGTAGCATACTTCTGCACGGTCAAAGGGGGCATACTGTTTTTAAATAGCAACCACTATTTTCTTGACGTAGTGAATTATTTGTCGATACAAATTATACAATAAAAGTCGTTTTTCAAATAATTGAATTTTAATATTTCTTTAGCTAATCGACTTCGAATCGTATAGACCGATTCATCATCAGACCTTAAGAGTCAGAATATTGTGCTGAATAATACAAATCCTTACATATTAACATTTGACGTAGACAAGTTACACATAAATATCGGGTTGAGCTTACTTGTGATTCAAATTCGTAAAAAAAAACACTTTTTAAAATTGTGCTAAATCCTTAAGTTTTAGAGATAAATGTTATATAGCAAAAAGTTTCCTCATCACAAGAGCTTTCAATAAAAAAAAAAGAAAATTAAAATCGGACTATTAGGAGCAGGAGATACAAAAAAATATATTGCGGCTAATGGCGCCATTTTGATGGCCACCATTTTGGTTTCCTGCACGGATTTTTGAGTGGCTCCCTATCTCAAAAGTTGCCTTTTGGTATTAACTATTACCACAGAAAGTGGCATATTCCAATCAAAAAGGGCAGTTTTTTTTTGGCGTACCCAACGTACTAAGACGATATAGGAATCCTTAGAAATCGTCAGAAGTGGGATAGACAACCCTATGTATTAATGCTGGAATTAATGTTTCCTTTTATCAACAAATTTTTTTGATCTTTCATCTTCCATTAGCCTGTCGAGGGATAATAAATAAAAAAAAAATTCCACGGTAAAGGACCGATATGGTCTATGACAGGAAGCCCAAGACCTTTCCGTGACAAGAAAATTCCCATACGTTTTTCTTCAAAATAACTTTTTTTATTTAAAGGAGAGAAGGAAATGGTATGTTCTTAAAAGGGCGACGTTTTTGTGACTGAAATAAGTTTATGATGTGTTGAAGTACTGTAGATTGTGCCTATGTAACACGAGGCCGTATATGAGCCAATTGAAAATAAACTTTTCAGCCCGCTCTCTTGGCTTAGAAATAGAGAATAATGACAAGAACACATTCCATTACTGCTTTTCGGCAGTTTGGCAATTTTCGAACGCGAAAGAGCATCAGCCAAACAGCTAAACACTAAATTTGCCCTTACAGGAAACGGGCCAAATTTTCAGTTACCCAAAAAATTGTAGGTACCATGTAGGTAGTTGTGTCACACTCACATTCTGGTAAACGACGGTATAATTGGCATTAATATTACCAACAACAACAAAAAATACCTAAACACTTTTTATTATCTTGAAAAAGACACAAGGTTTTCGGTATTTGCCACCCCAGTTACAAATGGACCTCAATATTCACAACCTAATCCTCCGAACTAAATCATCCTTTATTGTCAGCAAATAGCGCCGTATAAGAATAACATTTCATTTTAAAACGAACATCCGTCAGCTTCTTGTGAAAATGAGAGCTACAAGAGAACTCTCCGGATTAAATTATAATGGCGAAAGAGTCGCGATGTGTAACATTCATACACGCTTCGCCTGTAACTAACAATCGCTAACAATTTTTTTATCCTCGAAATTTCAAATCGGGTTGACTTCACAAAAGGGTATGCGTCGAACGGATCCCTAAAAGTTTAATATTAAAAGTGAACAAGCAGTTGTGCGATATGTAACACGGCATGTTGTTCAAGAACTCATATAAGGCGAAATTTGTTTTCATATTGTGCAGTTGACGTCGCTTCTTTTTACTCAATGCCAATTATTTGACAGCGCCTGTGCGTTGCCTAATTGAAACTATAGGGGTGACGGTTTAGACGTGAATTTAATGATGATTCTCTGTGCCAAGATTTAGTTAGATTGTCTTGAAATATTAACTATCTGTCACAGGTTTCTGTTAATCGCAAAGGAGGGTTGCCTTGGATACTAAACATTTTTTACACAACCCTTAAAGTCCAATTTCGTGCTTCTTTCACTCCAATGTATCATTCCTAAAAGTTTGTCTCATTTCACTACAATAGTTTTTTTCCTCAAAATCCTGTGAGACGCATTGCTCTAAGGAATGATTTCCCTTATACTTACTCCTAATAAATCATCACACTAACAAAGATGCTGAGGGGTATCAATTAAAACCTCTCGGCAGAGATTCATGACAATTCGGAACAAAGATCACAAAACCTTCCCCATGAATTTCGTTTATTATACAAAGGTATAAATAATCAATGGCGGCATGTTTCGGCAAATGCCATCATCAGGCATAAAGATCTACCGAAACCGGGTACAAAAACCCGGAGGGGGACAAAGTCCTAGACAAGTTAAGGGTCTACAGCCCTGAAGGGGGGAGTCGACCGAAAGAGAAAATGTTATAAGGGAGGGAGATTTTTGTAACCATCATGTTTTTTTTCTTTGCAAAATAATAATGTGTTCTTTTAGGGGTTAGGAAAGTTTTTGAACCAATTGAGCTAGCCGTAGGTATATCGAATATATTTCTATTAATAAAATTAGTTGAATCGTGATTTAAAAATAAAATAAACAAGATTGAACTTTCTGTAACGAGGGGCCCCTTACAAATGATTCTGTTTGTTTTAGGGAGAGCTGGGGAGACCGGACAAAATTGGTCACCATTTTCAATCCGAAGTCGAGACAAGAATTGATCATCCTTCGCCTCGCCTCTAAATTTGCAGGTAAGAGTTTAGTAGCTGTTTTTGAGATGCTAATATAATGTGCCGTCTCGTCAAAATACTAAGAGAAACTCTTCTCAAATCTGACGATTTTATTTATAATCCATCAATTAATGACTGTAGGTGAACGCCTAAAAATGACCGAATATTATTAACATGACGATACTAGATTTCTATTGGTTAGAGACTTTTACTCAACCAATACCAGACGGCTTTGGGGGCTGTGGCTTAATCTAAAAATTTAAAACTTGCATTTTCTCATAGACCAGCGGTGATCTAATACTGACTGGCAATTGTAACTAAATAAGGAGAAGTGCTAATTATTACTACACAAAAACCCATTGATATCGTTTAAAAAAGGAAATTAAGAAAAGCACTTAGGAATATACGAATACTCTTAACAACATAAAATTAATCATGATATGAAGTAACATAACCCCACATTTCGATTAAATGAATTGAACTTCTCATTAAGATTGTGGAAAATTTCGGGCCTCTTCCGCAAATTTTTTTGTTAAAAACGCTTAATTAAGTTAAGTTACCCTCCAACAGTTTTTATTATTCTCATACTTGTAGCTCGGGGTATCATACGGACCCCGCCGTGTAACCCAAGCAAGTAACAAGACAGGTGACTGATCTTTGGTGCAATAAAACACTTTTTGTTAAAAGCAACGTGGAAAATTACAATCGCTTTTTACAGATTTTGAATTTACTCTTTCTCTAAGATTTTTAAACTAACCTGATCAATTTCGTGGCCACGGTCTTTTGAATTAACCGTAATTCAATATCAACTGGATCTGGAGCGAAATAGGCTACAATTTGCTTATATAGTAAACGACAAATTGTTCTAGAGTGCTCTTAGAACGATTTGGAATGCTCTAGAATAAACATGCGTCATTCTTCCCGGAAGGATTGCGTCACAGCCGCCTTAGCTCTTTATCGCCGATGACGCCTGGCTCCTCGATGTCTATCGGGATTTCTGCAATATTCGCCACCATATTCATGGTATAAAATTGCAAATCCTTGCTTTCTTTTTAAATCAGCTAAAACAATAGCAACAATAAATTATAGACGATTTAACCCGAAATTTGCCTAGATGTTAATCTCCGAATCCTACTTCTTGTGGTACTATAATAAGTCCTTTAATACTGCGGGAATTTACTAATTCGCACTTCATTGTACGGGGCCTGTGAATAATTAATCAAACGTTTGTATTCTGCAAAACGTATTTGGAAGCTGTGAAAAGGTATTAAAGCGACAATGTTTGGAGATGACCTGACCGCCCTTCTTGCTCCGGCGAAAACCGCCCATGGAATTATTCATATCTTTAACCGAGTTCTCTCATTGCTGGCCCCTTACAAGGTTTACAGATTCATTGCTTGAAAATTGAGTGACGCAGCTATAATGAATGTCGGTTTGAGTCAAGTACAATTTGCAACAATCAAAATTGTAATTAAACTTTGTAGTGAAGGGTTCACTTATTTTTGTTTGGGGCGTCGTTCTCGTGGAAAATGAATAACGGCTCAAAGGAGAAATGGAGAATTAGTTCGATTTTAGAAACTGATATATACTAAAATACAAAGGGATTATTTGCCAGAAGGGTTAGGACAGTATTTCATTTTGAGGTTTACCGACCGTTCTCAAATGGCCTTGCTGTTTGTTATAAGCTATAAAGTCGATAAATGGTGTTAGGATCAATCAAATTTTAACGTTTTGATAGCGGTCACGGCGTTGACCTATTCGGATTAATGTATGCCATAATGTCAACTAATAGCTTATACAGTGTCTTCCAACTGAAACCTACCCTTCCTAGAATAATATTACAAAAGCGGCAGGGGTTCAATGAACACGAATTTTGATAAAATGAGGTTCTTTTAATTCAGAACCAGATGCAGTCATTCATTTTCAACTTTGCGTACGTAATTCACTGAGAGGATGTATTTTATTTCGAAATTTGCCGGCGGATTGCTTTCAAAGTAAATGTGCTTACTTTTATAAATTTTAATTTTCCGTGCCCTTTCCATATTTTCAGAAATCTTCTCAATAGGCGAAGTTACATGGGACGGGTGCTTCACTGCGTAAGTTATTAGCGTAGTTGGGTAAATATTAAAGGTGTTGAAGGGTAGCGAAGTGCCTGAGATAATTACAATTTGCAGCATCCAGAAGTGGGCGAAAATTGATAAATCTACGTCTTAACATTTCCTTTGAGACAAATAATTTTTTAATCAAACGCAAAACAGTGTTACCCAGCTAGTTTAAAATCAATAATCAAACATTTCGTACCCTATTGTAATGGAAGAATGTGTACACCCTCAAAAGCAATTGCATTTTGAAGACGAATTTCGATATTTGTGCTTCAAGATTTAATTACATTCTAAAAGTAACAAGCTGTCGTCAAACTTGACAAGGTATCTAAATATAAAGTAAATTAATGCGCAATATACTTTGCTTATCCTTATAATTTGTAGGTCTGTTATTTAGCAATTGAGGGTGGTTGTGCATTGAACGGTTTTTACCACCCGCACGTTAGTAAGGGACGTAGGTATTGCATTGGGGTAAAAAATAGCCTCCCCCACTTTTTTGACGGAAATACACGAAGCACTTGGAACTCGAATCAAACAAAATCTCGATGATGTCGGTCTATCGGTCTCTCTGTCGGTCCGTCTGTACTCTCATTTCCGGCTGAACCAATTGAAACCAAATTTGGTATACATGTTCTTAGACATAAAGGGGCAGAATCGGGCATGCGCAGGTGTGTGGATGGTGTCTGTGTCATCCACAGCGAATTTTTGATCTAGAATTTCATTTTATTTCAAAATACGTGAGAGTATAAGAGTGTGTTCGTATTTAAAAAATATTGTATCGAGTATCCAGAAGCTTTTTTGGCTCGTCCTGTGCCATCCTGAGAAGCTCGATAATAAGTTAGCAATAGTAAGAACAAAATGGTCGTGCTGGGAGAAATGCACCCCATCACTATTTGGGGGTGGCGCTAGCTCCAAAATTTGTGGCCTTAGGTCTAACAAACGCAATTTAAAGAACCCTTATGAAATATAATTGAATAAAGAGTCATTTTTCATTATTCAGTCAGTCTGTGTAGTAGGTACGATATATACAATCGCCCCTTCCTCTCCCTCTTCTGAATCCCATTTGAGTTTCCTCCAACATCCTCTCATTTCTCTTTCTAACCTTTCATTCATCACCATCGCATAGGTATATTCTGTACGCACTGGTCATTATCGTGATTAAACCTCTTTTGTAAATCCACACTATTAATCCGTTCTTCCTGTAGTACTGCTCCTTTGCGTATCTTGTTTATTAGTTTCCTCAGTTTCTCTTTGATACTATCTATCGCTTTCCCTTTCTTCAGTTTCTGTAAGTTCTTCTCAACTTCTTACCTTGATATCTCGTACCTTTCTCTTTCTCCTGCTTTCCTTATAGTACATTAATAAAGTGCTGCTTCCAGTCTTGTATTTGTATTTCTCTCACACTTATTATGTTTTTCCGTTTGTTTAATTCTTCGAAAGGTTCTCCTTTTTGTATTTCCCTGATTTCTTCATATTCTTTCTGTTTCGTCGTCCTTTTTTCTTTATATTTTCTTCTGTACTTTTTTCTGTTCTCTCAACTTCTTCCCCTCCCTTTCTGCTTGCACCAATATTCTGTATCTGTTCTGTACACACTCTGTCCAATCATTTCTTTCTATTATCTGTCCTTTCTCCTTCATTTACCTGGTTCCATTTGTGTTGTCCAATGTCCATGTATTGTCTTTTCTCTTAATACTTCATATTTTTCCGCTCCCCTATTTCTTCTTTTTGCCTCTCCCTTCTCTTTGTACCTTTACATTTCTTGATCTTTTTGTCTTCCCTTTTAGACTTATTTCCATCGGCTGGTGATTTTCGATCCTTGTTCCAATCTTACATTCTTTTATTTCTTCAAGTCTTTTTGCGAGTTTTTTTTCAGATTAAAAAAAAATGTACTATTGTTTGCGCTTAATGCCCGTCCGTTCGTCCGCCCGTCCCCCCTTCTCCCGTTTTAAACTACTAAGAATAGTCCTAGAATCCTGCAATTTTTTGCAGTAGGCAGCCTATACCTTGAAGGTGTGCAGGGGGGGGGCATGAATTATTTCCTGAAATACCGTTTTTGAAAGCAAAACGTGCACAACCTTTACATACGCCAACCAAATTGGTCTAGATTTTGCATACGCATGCCTTTAGTGGTGCCAAGTAAAATTTTTGAAAATGGCGGCGGGGATGGGGGTAAATACACGTTTTACCCTTCATCTTATTCGATTAAAAAGATCACTAATCAACTTTTATTTCGTACTTGGTGCTGATATTCTAAAAGCAAATAAGGACTGAAGGTCTATTATATTTAATGTAAAAGAGGGGGGGTTATCATTAGTGATGTATTGTATTGTATTGTTTTTAAAATACTCGAAATTTCTTTAGAGTTCGTCTTAGGATCTTCTTAGAGATATTGTCTCAGCAACTTTTTTTACCTATTCGGAAACATTTCAAAAAAATACTCTTAGTGGTTTCCTTAAAAATACCTACTTGTAGAAACAAGTTGTTTGATGATTTTCAGGAAACTTCTTTGAAATCTTAAAAGTTATAGAAACCTATTTTCCCTCATTGTATTTATACTCCTGATTTTTAGTATTTCCGCTTAGCATCTGATATTTTTTTGTTTTCTTCCAATTTTTTCCTTGATCTTTTTGTTTTCGAAGACCATCCAATTTCCGTGCGTGACTGAGGTGCGGAAGAATTAATACTTAAATAATTATAAATGCGTTACACAATTCTGACACGTAAAGAAATTAATTTTAATTGAAATCTGGCGTTTTCTCACTTCCTGTTTTTCCAAATGAACAATCTTTCACGATAACGAAGAACAACCTCAACCTACATAACACGAACTCCAGAAATAATGTAATTATAGCGTTTTGGAGTAAAAAAAGGTGCTTCTGGTTCAGTACCCGAAAAAATGTTCACTGTTTTGTGGAATAA